GAAAACTGAGAGGCACGGGCAACAGATATGTATCTGTGAGTAAAATGGGCCCCTTTAAGACCACACCTACACTGCAGTGAAGGCTCAGTCAGTAAAAACACTGCCCGGTAAACACAAGGACCCGAGTTCAGTCTTTCCAGATCCCACATCTAAACAACAAAACTAAGTCAAAAACCAAATAGACAAACAGCAAATGTGGCAAAAAGCCTGCTCGGAATTCCAGTGCTGGGGAGGTGGAGAAGTGCAGATCCCTGGGCTGGTAGTCTACTCCAAAAACATAAGGTGGGTGGCTCACGAGGAGTGACAGCCAAGGTTGTTTACTGGCTAGAGATGGGGAGGCAGGCAGACAAAGAGAGAGAAAGGGTGGAGTGAAGAGGGAGAGAGAGACTGTTTGGCCAGCAGCTAAAACCAACAAGGGCTCTTTTCAAGCCCAAGGAGGGATGAGTACAGGGATGAGGATAAGGCCTGAAGTAGCTGAGTGGGTAAGAGCACAGAGCAACCCAGCAGCAGAAGTCCCTTCACTAGTGACATGCTCTACAGTTCTGCAAACAAGAGCCACATGGGGGTACTGAGCACCTCAAATTTGGTGAATGTGATCAAGAAACAGTGGGTTTTCCTTCCAGCACATCCTCCCATCCTCCATATATATATATGTGAACAATTATAGAAGGAACAGGGTTTAGATAGATTTTCTTCTACTTGTAAAAGCTCTAAATGTTCTTCATAAATTTTAGTGTTTGAAGGAAGAGGATCTGGCCCTTCTGGATCTCTATGTACTACCATGTCCTCTACAGGAATTTGACCAATGAAAGACCAAGGCCAATATCCAGGGAAGAGAGAAATAAGAAAGAGGAAAAACATGCGTTACAGTTATTTTTATAAAACCGTGTTTGTTTCTCAGTTTCTCTCTTAACCTGGCTGTGACACAAATAATTGAGACTTTTATGTTTGTTTAACAATAAGCTTCACAGCACAAGAACTGAGCAGTTACTATGTTCTTGGTCCTCTAAGCTAATCTGGTTTCCTCCTAGCGTACGTCCTAGAGATACTTGCACTTTGTAGCTTCCTGCTCCATCTCCTTCTCCTGATGTCTCTTGGACCTCTCTGTGGCTGACAGGAAGCCCACCCTTATTCTCTCCCCTGCTCAGCGATTGGCTGTAAGCTACTTTATTGGCTTATCAGGGAACAATTGGGGAGCAGCGTTTACACAACATTGAGACAGAAGTTTCTAAGAACAATGATTGCAACTGGATATGGGGGTACAGAAATCAGCATTTGAATTGCATAATAACCTTCTGCCTACAAACATGAGGAAAACTGGCTAGAAGAGAAAGTATGTTTCATCTTCAGATATTCTTGAGGCCAGATTTAAACATTCTATACAAACCATAAAGTCTGGGGAAGGACCACGGACAAAGCTCGTCTGGAGCAGAGATTGGCAACAGAAACAGTTAAGTCATCCTTCCTTTCCCAACTGCTATCCACTCCACTGCCCCATTGAAGATTTCGATTTGGCAACAGCCCCTATGGCTTATGTGACTCACACTGCTTCGCACGGAGAAAATGGCTATGGTTCCAGCTGTCTTGAGTAGAGCAGTCTCCCAGGGTTCTTTTAAGATGGAATGAACAACAGAAGTAGTAGAATGTGCCGGGTTAGAGAACATCTACCTCTCTGTCTGTCTAGAGGAGGAAGGTCTGTCAAAGCCTTCCCCCTCCAGCATGGTTTCTATAGCCCAGCCTGGTATTCTTTCAAGATGGATCCTCCGGGAGGGTGACTGTTTTTTCCATGTATTCCTTTTCCCCTCATATATGGATGCGCACTACTTTCCCTATTGATACTGGAGCTGGCATGGGACTTGCTTCAGCCAATGTAACATGGGCAGTTCTAAACTCTGTGAGTGAAAGCTTCTTCACAGCATGATGCTCACTACAGCTCTTGGTCTTTCTCTGGCATTAGAAACCCTTTTGTTCCAGGCACAGCCTAGACTGTGAAACTGGGGGAGAACTTGGGGCCAAGACTAATTTAACCAGAAGCCCCCTGCAAGTGAAAATAGACTGGCAGGGAACTGTTTGTTTCCTGGTGAAGAAAACAGAAGCGGAGACATAAGCTAAATTGGCAAGGGCTCCTGTGCCAGCAACTGACATCCTCCCACCTTCTGAGTTGCTGCTAAAGAAAATGCTGGTATAAAAGGTTCATTCCACTTGCCCTTAAGCAGAACGGTTCCTCTATAGGTTAAAGAGCAGGCTGTTGGGTTTGGAGTGCCTTCTGGGGGAATGGTCATGAGTGTGATTATTGTTCGCCCGGGAGGACACTGGGCCAGGCAGAGCAGGCAGGTGCTGAGCCCTCTACGGCTTAGTACACCTGTAGCTAGCTTGCCTTCTGAGACCATCAAAACCTGGCTCTGTCATGAAGCATGAGCTTGCCTCCACCAGTGTGGTTCCCACCACCATCCCTCCCACTTAAAACACCCAACACAGGGCCCCAGATCAGGAAGCAGCCTGGTTGACTCTCATAGAGAAATGGGATCAACAGTAAGATATTGCTCCATTTCTGCTTAGTTACAGCACCACCACTTCAAAAACACTGTCCCTTTTACCTCTGAAAACTGTGTGCTGTTCATGGTTTAAGTCAATTTGAGGAGCTGGTTGAGGACTACAAGTCATATTTATATATTTATATTTCTCCTGTGGAGAAAACTTTTTTTTTTTCAAACACACACATGAGCTGCGTCCAAAGCACTGTCCTTGATGACCCTTATTATTGGAACTTTCCAAATAATTATCAACTTTTAAAACCAAGTCACCTTTTGAGAGCAACTTCTTGTACTTGAATGCCGTAAACACTCAAATCCAAGCAGGTCTAAAAGATGACAGAAGGGAGGTAAGGCTGCTTATGGGCAAGTGTTAACAGCTGAAAGTGTAATTAGTAGTAGACTAATTCTTTTTAAGCATTATAAATATAGCATGCCCCACTGTTAATGCTCAGGCAAAGCTTCTATAAATTATTCATATGTACTCTCTGTCCCCAGAAAATATTCCTCAGTACACAGATGCCACCCACTCAGAGGCAGAGGCGGGTTCTCAGCCTCACGGAATCTAATGTTCCTGAGTGTCTCTCTAAGATCACTCGTCACACTTCTCTCTCTGCCACTATAATTAATAGTTCTCCGATATCCGTTCCACTTTAGGTTTGGCAGCTGAAATTTCATTACGAGATAAGCCTGTTTTGATTTAGATACAAGCAAAGTAATTACTAAATTCATAATAAAGTGGTTATTTGGGGTCAAGATGATGAGACATTCTCAGCTCAAACTTGCTGAGTAGTTTACAATCACGGTAGGGGAGCTGATCTAAAGCGGGGAAAGATTTTCTATGCGTCAGGTATTTTTGTAGCTAGAAAACACCACAGGAATACTGTCTGGTGTTCTTATAAGTTCTCATGCACTGTAAGGAGCAGTTTGTATACAAATGGAATGGGCACAGATGACGTGAAAAAGAGGCTTCTTCCCTCTGGGGTTCCATTGTCTCCGTGTAGATACCCTGTCTAAAGGGATCAGGTATATTGTCGTGCATTGTTCCTGAAACTTAAACAATAGCTTCCTGAACTGATATGCCCTTAATGAAATGGCACAGTGCAATAACTTTGTATATCGTAAGTCACAAAGATATTATATATCGGAATCTATTTTAAAATCCCTAATATTTAAAATCATGTGTGAAGAAAGGTAGGTGGTAGCTCAGTAATGGTCACTGCAAAGCCCAGGACTGATACATTTTAGCTGGAGAAAGACTCGTCAAATTAGCAAGGTTCTCCAGAAAGAACAAGAGGCAAGGGTTTCTGCATTTATGCCCAAGTTACTGCACAGTGCTGGAGAAGAAGTAAGTGCCCAACTGAACAACGTAAGAAAGTTGTTTCTGGTGGTATTCCTTTGTCACTTTTTGTTTTCTGCTTTCCTTTTTACTTTGGTGTAGGGTGCAAGTGGGAAAGGATTAGGGACAGTGATGGGTGGACCAGAATTGACCTCTAGGACAAAAGACTCTAGCAAGAACAAGAATCTCAAAACAATCATGGGCCTAAAATGAAGGAATGTGATTTATGTGGAAGGTCAGAGCCAGAGCAAAGCTTAACAGCTTCTCTCCCAAGGGAGGCACTAACATAAACAGAGAAATAACAGCCCTTAGAAGAACCCAGCTGCTCTGTGGTGGTTCACTTTTCCCTAACCACACAAAAGGTCGCTTTCTACCTTCTCATTATTAGAAAACAGAAGTGAACATGCTTTTCACATTGCTCATCTTTGAAGGCTCAAAACTACTTATCGTTGATTTGCATGTAATAATTATTTACTTAATTAACAAGCTCTCAACTACATTGTCCTTCAACTCTTGAAGGCTGAAAATTATCTAAGCTCCCTTCAAAGTAAAGCAACGTTCCCTGGATAGGGCCTGCTACTTATAGCAGGACAGACAGGCATTTTCCTACCTGACTCTTCCTGGCCCAAAAGTGCCATGGAACTGAGCTATCAGAGGTGTCTCTCTCACTGAAAACCCAGGAAACAGTAAATGTAGGTTACCCACAAATCCAGTATCCTTAGTAAAATTCTTTTAAAATGCAGAAAAGCAGCATATTCCCCACAGAGCTGGGAGTGAGCCTTAAAATAAAATAAAGCACAGTCTTTAGGATTACAAATGCCTTATTTAATAGGCTAGCCGAAGCACATCAAAATTTAATGTCTCAGCCACATTAAGAACTTTCCCCTGTGGCTCAGGAACGGCAGAGTCTAAGCCAGCCGACTCGTCTATGAATAGAGAGAACCTTTGAAATGAATTTCACAGAGTGTAACAAGCTGTACCCGCTCCTCGCCCTCTGGCTATGGAATGGCTCAAATGCCAGAAGGGACAGAGTGAGTGGATGGAGTATGCAGACGAAGTTCAAGACAAAGCAGATGGAGCTCTCAGACAGGGGAGAGAGAAGGCACTGGAGCCAGCCACCACCTACTCACCAGATATCGGACTTGGCATCGTAGCCTTGGTGCTTCAGGGCCTCGGGGCTCATATATCGGGGAGTCCCAGTTAAAGTTGTAGCCAGCTCCCATGATCCCATTAGCAGTCGAGAAACTCCAAAATCCCCTGGGAATTGTAGTTAATTTGTGTAAATATTTTAAACAACAAAAACCATCGCTGGAAATTAACAACTGAAATTGAGTTAACTTCATCAGTTACTATGCAGCGCCTCATGCCATTTTAAAGGGAAAGGCAAGTAACATTGTAAATTACTTAATGGTGGCAAATAGCTTTAAGTATATGTGCTTTACAGGAGAAAGACGACTTCATGAGAAAAGTGACTTATATAACCTCAGAGCCTTTATTTCTGGGATTACAGAAAACTAGAATAACCTGTTATTAAGCCACTTGAGGTCTGGTAATCACTAACAGAGGGTTTGGAAGGACTGAATGTGCAGACATGAAAATTCCCCGATCTCAATTTACAAGAAAGGGGAAATTTCCAAAGATTTAAACTATCCGTGAATAGATGTATAAAAATATGAATCCACTGACTTTTCTAATTAGTCACATACATGCACTGTTTTCTTTTTCCTTATGAGTTTCCTATGTAATACTCAGACAACCAAGCAACAATTTGGATGGAGGTCCAGTTCTGAAGAGTTAAGTATCAATAAAGCCATTATAGCAGCATTTAAATTATGTACGGCCGCTATTCACTGACTGTGCTAAAGTGAGGGAGGCTGGAGAGGAGGCCCAGAGATGAAGAGCATTCACTGGCTGCTCTTCCAGAGGACCCAGGTTCAATCCACAGCACCCATAGTTCACAAGCTCTGACTCCAGTTCCAGGGGATCTGATGCTCCTTTCTGGCCTCCATAGGTACTGCATGCACGTGGTACACAAACAGACATGCACAATGCCTGTACACATAAGAAAACATGAAAACTTTTAAACAGACGAGGAACCTACAGCAGTGAATGAAGCAGGCAAAAAGCCGGCTGCTTACAGAGCGCCTGGTAATGAGCAGACTGCAGAAACGTGCCTGCTAACTCAGCCGGCCATGGAGCGAGTGTTTTATACTTTAATTTATATCAGACAGTCACCAACAAAGTAACGGGGTTTGTTGGTCTCATCCAGGTAAGAATGAATGTCGGCGAAGGCTACAGAAGTCAGGGCTGGATTACTTCCGGGTTAGCTTGCGCCACATACTTCTGCCCCGGATGGCAGCATCTTGCTGGGAGTTTTAGAGCAGCGTTTAAAACATCTTACCGATTTTAAGTAGGTTATTTTTCAGAAATATATTCTTTGTCTTCAAGTCTCGATGGAGTATCCTCCTACAGAGAGAAAAAAAAGATAAAACGTCATGTAAAATAGAAAACTAAACCTGAGTAGAAGTCAAGGGTGCGCTTGTGTAGGGGGAGTTACCACAAGCTTCCAGATCCGGCTTCCACTGCTCAAAGGCTGCAGAGCCTCGACTGTCTCTCCTTTCTCCAGGGAAGAGAGAGTTTGTAAATGGAGGGTTCAGACAGAAAGGGGCACGTGGTTTTGCTTTTTAAAACTGCTTCAAAAAGGTCAGATCGTATTGAGGGCTTTGTTTGGTTGGTCTTGCTTTATGTTGTTAGAATAAGACGGAGTAAGGACTCATAGGTCAGGTTGGTCTGGAACCGTCTGTGTAGCCCAGGCTGTACACTGTTTTAATGGTGTGATTTACACAGTACTACATCCAGTAACCATACCCTCAGTTGATGCAAATTATCAAAAAATGCCATAATATATCATTACCCAACTGTTTACATTTTGTGAACGCAGCAATATTGATAATGCTATTCAGTAACTACTGGCTGCGTCTTGCTGTAAGACAGCGGTATGAAATATGTCCATGAGGACTTCTGTTTCTGAATTTGAGAGGACCAGACAACATGAAAATCTTTTCCCATGGTGGATCCTAAACCGCTAAACGAAGTTCACAAACAGACACTCATGAGCTGAGCCCATCTGCCGCAAATCCCCCTGGGGATTTTATATGAAGAGAAACTGGAAATCCGAGTGGACTATAGGGGCTGACTCCTCAGCTGCCTTTGGAAATGTGGAGGTCTCAGAAAGCTGGGGACGGGCGATAGTGGCCACAGCAGAAGTCATCAAATCAGTGTAGTGGGGACAGATGCTGCTAGGACACATCCATGTGGGTGGAAACCCGTATGTGTCCCTTGCAGACAGTGAAGGGGTGGCCTAGGATGCATGCCTCTGTGAGCTCAGAAAGGAAGCTTATACTTTGAGTGAAGGACAGTACCCATTCAGACAAGTGGTTCTGATATGCCATAGCTGTGAGGTCACAGAGAGCCTTAGCCAAGAGAATAAAACTGTTAATGTCCAACTGTTAGCATCCTCTTTGCTCATCTGGCAGAAGCAAATGTAGACTAAGAATCATCAGAGAATATGCAATGATACCAGACCTTCAAGCGCTTCTGAGAGCCAAATATGATACAGATTCTAAGTCTATTTTAAATGCTTAAACTCACAAAGGTTATAAGAGAAAATGAAGTAGAAAAACCAAAGAGGTGGTGTTGATGAAGGAGTTGTCAGACTTCCAAGGGAAAAAAATGTAAGCACTGAAATTTAAAAAAAAAATCAGAATTAAAACATATGTCTTGATTTAACCCCACTACAATGACACAATATTGAGCATAGTAACAATGGGATTAATTCTTAGCTCCCCACCAAACTCTCCATTTTAAAAAGAAAATTATTTATTTATTTTTTATTACAGTTTATTCACTTTGTATGCCTTTCTGCAGCCTCCTCCCTTGTCTCCTCCCAGTCCCATGCACCATCCCTCTTCTCCCCCTATGCCCTTGCCGTAGTCCCCTGATAAGGGAGGAACTTCTCCCTTTCTATTTGACCCTAGGCTATCTGGTCTCATCAAGGCTGGCTGCATCATCTTCCTCTGTAGTCTGGCAAGGCTGCACACGCCCCTGGGGGGGGGGGGAGATGACAAAAAAGCCGGCCACAGAGTTCATGTCAGAGACAGTCCCTGTATACCTTACTAGGGAGCCCACTTGGAAACTGAGCAGCCTATGGGCTTCCTTTGAACAGGGGTCTAGGTCCTCTCCATGCATGGTACTTGGTTAGAGTATCAGTCTCTGCAGGCCCCCCATGGGCCCAGGTATTTTGGCTCTGTTGATCTCCTTGTAGAGTTCTTGTTCCCTCCAGGTCTTTATATCTCCCTCTTCTTCCCTAAGAATTCCAGCACTCTGCCCAAAGTTTGGCTATAAGTCTCAGTATCTCCTTTGATACCCTGGTGGGTAGAGTCTTTCAGAGGTCCTCTGTGGAAGGCTCCTGTCCTGTTCCTTGTCTTCTCCTACTTCTGATGTCTATCCTGTTTGCCCTTCTGAATGAGGATTAAGCATCTTCCCTAGGGTTCTCCTTGTTGTTTAGCTTCTTTAGGACTATAGATTTTAGTATGCTTATCCTATATTATATGGCTAATATCTACTTATAAGTGAATATATACCATGCATCTTTCTGCTTCTGGGTTACCTCACTCAGGATGATATTTTTCCCCACCATTTGCCTGCAAATTTCAAGATTTCCTTGTTTTTAATTGCTAAGTAGTATTCCATTGTGTAAATATACCACACTTTCTGTATCCATTCCTCAATTGAGGGACATCTGGGCTGTTTCCAGATTCTGGCTATTACAAATAAAGCTGTTAAAAACATAGTTGAGCAAATGTCCTTATTGAATAGTGGGGCATCTTTTGGGTATATGCCTAGGAGTGGTATAGCTGGATCTTGAGGTAGCACTATTTCTAATTTTCTGAGAAAGCCCCAGATTGATTTCCCAAGTGGTTATACAAGGTTACATTCCCACCAGCAATGGAGGAGGGTTCCCCTTTCTCCATGTCTTCTCCAGCATGCATCATCCCTTGAGTTTTTTATCTTAGCCATTCTGATGGGTGTGAGGTGAAATCTCAGGGTCCTTTGATTTGCATTTCCCAAACGACCAAGGATGCAAATCTTCCATTTTTATACTAGCTTTATTCACAATGGCTAAGCATGGATGAAAACCAGATGCCCTTCAGTAAGTAAACTGATACAGTAAGTCTACTGAACCATCTAAACAATGGTGTGTCAGTCAGCACTAACAAGAAATGAGTGAGCGAGCCAGGAAAGGACCTGATAGAAACTAAAAACATACTTCAAAGTGAAAAAAGCCAGTCTGCAATAAAGTCTTATACATATGTTGGGCTAACAGTAATCCCTTTAAAATATAGTTTAAAAATCCAGGAAATAACAAAGTAACAAATAGTTCAGTCTGTTCAAATTTTTCTCTGAAAATCCCAAAGTATCTCCAGCAGTTCTCCATCCACTAACTACCACACATTATCGACAGAGCTTTCTGGTCCATGACACCCAAGTGCTGTGCAAAGATTCAGCAGTTGCTTGTCTGTGGAAAAATTTGTGTTAGGTTTCATCTCCATCTCCCCATGAGGCTATTCTCCACAGCCTCCACATCTTTTCCTGGGGTAAAGAGCAGATGATGGAGGCAGAGTGCTAGCATCAGGTGGGATTGTGGAGGAGGCACAGACAACTTAGCCTTCACCCCCCTTAAGCCCTAGGTAAACAGTGTGACATCTCAGCTCCCTCCCTGCAGCTCCATCTTTCACCTGGCAGGGTCTCACTGTGGAGTTCAAATGCTTGTTCCCAGAGGCCCCACCCACCCAAAGACTCCTTGATGAAGCTCAGCTTGGGAAGCTTGTTCTTTGTTCTTTCCTCTGGCATGTGACCCCATCCTGAACTCCAAGGCCCCTGTTTGACTCACCTCAGCTTTGACTTGATGATGAACCTCCGTGGAGTCAGGAGGTAGAGGTTCAGTCCTTCTAGAACTACCTGGCTATGGCCAGCACATCAGAAGTCTATCTAGACTTGGTGTGAAAACAGGCGCTGACCACAGGACATCCTCAAGAAGGGGTACATTGGGGGAAAGTAAGGGCTCAAGAGATAAGAGACACCACAGCAGCTCAGCACTTCCGTCTCCCAAAGTTGAGTAGGGCACCGCCTTCCTCTGCCAAATACACTACCTGGATTCCCAAGCAGGTGCTTTCCCCAGGAAATGAGTTCTCTGTGCCACTTTTCAGGGACTCATTTAGATACCGCACCCTAACCTCTCTGCAGGCTGGCTGAGAAGTGTAGCTAGGTGGTGACAAAGCCACCTTAGGAAATGTGTGGGTAGCTGGGTGATGACGAAGCCACCTTAGGGAAAGTGCACCAGCCTGTCTCTCCCACCCTGCGGAATCACTAATTTCGGCAACACCTCAGGACCACCAAGGCTGAGCGCACTGGAAGGGGCTGCTCCACTCTGCCTCAAGAAACGGGGGCTAATAAGCTTGACACCCCAACCAGAAGAAGTTTTGTGTAGCCTTCCCGCAGACAGCTGAGTGAGCTGTGAATAGTCTCAGGCTCTAACAGTCTCATTTATGTACCTGCCATATGCTGCTGACTCCAAGTATTCCAATTTGAAAAAAACAAACTAAATTAAAACACAGTGCAGAAACTTTCCAAAGCAGGGAGCCAATTTTTCCTTTCTTCTGTCCCCTCCCCACCTCCCTCTTAGTTTCTCTACCACTGTCTGTCCTCTCTAGAATACTGTATTTGTCAAGACTCCTCCCAGAAGCAGCATTTTCAGCTGGGCCTCCCAGGGCTCCCTGCACTGGTCATAAAGTCAACTAACATTTGCACTGAGGCTACAAAGGAATGGAGCCTCACCTCTCACATGCATGTACAATTGCCAGTGTCATCCAGATTGACGTGCAAGCAATCTAAGTGCTCCCATGGAGGAGACAGTGATCTCGGAGGGCCACCTGTCTCGCAGCTAGGACACAAAGATTTTTTTTTTTTTTTTTTACCAGTCACAGTTAACAAACAGCTCTGTAAGCTTAGGACTTATTTTTAGTTTATTGCTATTTCATGAGTAAAATGTATCAAACCATAAAACTGGCATTTCTCTATACATCAGAAGCTGATAATTATTGGTTACAATATAATGATTAAGAGACACCGTCAGTTTTCATCTGAATAACAAAGAATAGATTTTATATTCACTCATTCAACAGCACCCACCTGTGTGGCCCTGTTGAATGGCTCTTTATAAATTCTGACAGACTGGAAATGGCACTCTTCCCTTTGGAGGTTGTTTTTAAACTCATTTATTTTTAACTATCACTAAGTAATCTTAAGCACATCACAATATTGAGGGAATGTGCTCAGAATATGTTTTATGCTGGCATGGGAATAGCCTTATGTAATCCTGTAAAATACAAGCTAAAATAACAAAATGGAAAAACAAAAAATTAAATCAAATTTGGGATCTTAAGTCAACCAGACTTCAACTGTATATTTTGCACACAGAACACCCACCATAGTGGGCATCTGTGTGGGTGTTGTTTTATAATTATATCTTTTATGCAATAAGCCAATAATATGCTAAGAAGCAATGGGAAAGGAAAGACAGGAAGGAGGGGAGAGGACGGGAGAAAAAAAGATAATAGCGGCATGAGTGAGTGTGCGTGTGCAGGAGTCGATGGTCAGCAGCTTCAGGATGTTTATTAAAGATTATGTGATATTTTGTCATCTAGGGACATGATTACAGAGACTCTGGGAGTCGCACTGCATTAGCCCCTATTTGTGTCATTGAGCGTGTGTTTCAGAGATACATGGCCAATTGCAAAGGAATATGATTACTTTTTATGCTATCAGAAACCACAGATGACACACTTAAGTAACGACATCCTCAGAGCACCAGGCCTTGGTGTGCCCTAGGAATACCACTTCCACTCAAGACAGCTTCTCCCAGGTGTTCTGCTCCCTCCTGCAGTGAGAGTGCCAGGACCACACACTTTGAGAGTCTATTGTTTCAAAGTGCATTTGTGTCATTTTATGGGTCTAAAAATATTTAACACCTTACCATCTGAGAAGATGTTTTAAATGTGTTGTTAAAACATTTACAATGTTTCAAAATGTACTATTGAGTCAAATTCCATAAGCAAGATTGACAGATAACTGAAACTCAGGGGATACGCTTTGACCACTATCTAATATTTATATTAAAACTGACTTTTGGATTGAATATTTATCTGTCATGACCTGCTAAGGATGTCTAAGTATCCGCTTTAATTACAGGAGATGGTTAGATAAGTCACCATGTTCGATACAGTTTCTGCTACATTGCAGATCAAGTTGTTTTAGAAAGAACTACCAAAAACCAAGGAAAGAGAGAGAGAGAGAGACAGAGAGAGAGAGAGAGAGAGAGAGAGAGAGAGAGAAAGGAAAAAAGGAAGGAAGGATAGAGAAAGAAAAAGAAAAAGGGGGAGCTGTAGATATGGTTCAGAGGGTAGAGTGCTGACTGTGCAAACATGAGGACTGCATTCAAATCCCAAGGACCCACAAACAAGCTGAATCTGGAAACTCCTGTCTGTAACCGAGCCCGAGCCCTCGATGTCAGGATGCGAGGGGAGACAGGAGGGTCTTCAGGGGGCCAGCTGGCCTGGCATGTTCAGCAGAGGACAGTGAGATGCCTAATGTCAGGCAAGGTAAAAGGCAAGGACCAACACCAATGCTGTCCTCCACAGCCAGGCACACGCCTGCACTCACTCACACACGACTGATATAAATAAATACTGTCAGTAAGTATCATTCAACAGTTTCCTCAAGAAAAAACATCATGTTGTAAAGCATTACAGATGTCTCACTGTGCCTATTCATCTTCTGAGCCTGTTTGCTTTCAAGTTCAGACGTGAATATACCCCATCCCCAGAATCAACATACCTCTCGTGCATATAATCAACTCCAAGCAACAACTGGATAAACCATTCTACTATCTGACTTTCAGGAAAGATTTTCCCAGCTTCTTTATATTCGTGAATTTTATAGTCCAGGTCTCGGCCCTGAAACAAAATAACACAATCTTTTGTAACTTTTACAAGTAAAAACTTAATACCAAGTTCTCTCAACAATGTAAGGGTGGCCCAAGATGGAGTCACCTAAGCAGACACCAAGATGGATGAGCTAGGTTGGCCTCAACTTCTTTGGGGAAATGGAAACGAGATATTCTGCACACCTCAGAAGTCATCTGAGCCTTCCTGTTTTCCTACTGACCAAAAGTCCCTCATCCTCCTAAGCAGACACCCCCCACTCCAATCTGAACAGGACTCTTTTAATATTAATTACTTTTTATTAATTGCAGTTTATTCACTTTGTATCCCAACTCTAGCCCCCTCTCTCATCCCCTCCCAAACCCACATTCCCCTACCTTCCCTCCCTCTTTTCCACACATGCCATGCCCCTGCACCAGTCCACTGATATGGGTGGTCCTTCTCTCCTTCCCTCTGACCCTAGCCTGTCAAGTCTCATATCTACAGTCTCCCTCTGTGGCCTGATTAGGCTGCCCAGCAGTGTATCAAAGCAGAGGCTGAGACTCATAGCCAAACTTTGGGCAGAGTGCAGGGAATCTTTTGAAAGAAGGGGGAGACAGAAAGACGTGGAGGGGACAGGAGCTCCACAAGGAGAGAAAAAAAAAATCTGGCACAGGGATCTTTTCTGAGGCTTATACTCTAACCAAGGACCATTCATGGAGATAACCTAGAACCCCCGCACAGATGTAGCCCAAGGCAGCTCAGTGTCCTAGTGGGTGCCCTAGTAAGGGGAACAGGAACTGTCTGTGACATGAACTCAGTGGCAAACAGGACTCTTAGCAGTTAAACTCTGCCATTGCTCCTCTAGTTCAGGTCCATCCAACTGGGTTTCATCTTTGCCATCAAGCAAGAACAAAATAAATCGTGTCACAGAGGAGGGTTATCCGGTTCAACATACATATTTGGATGGCATCCTCTGAATATGTATTCATATAAAATGAGGAATAACTTTTCCAATACCTTGACTTTGTGTATAGAACCCTAACATGTGAAAGTTAAAAATGGAAGACAGTGAGATTCAAATCAGAGACATTAATTTAATGCACAGTGACGATGGTCGCATGAAGTGAAATTGGTGTTGACGTGGTGCACCAGTGCTGGTCGCCACGGGGGATTCTGCTGAATTTTAACTTAAATTTGTGTTCTTACGAATGTGTGTATGAGTGTGGGGGGGGGTGGCATATGTGGAGGTCAGAGGACAATTTCAGGAGTAGGTTCTCTCCTCCCACTGTGGGTTTTGTGGACAGAACTCAAGTCATCAGACTTGTGGGATAAAAGCTTTGTCTCACTGAGCCATCCTGCCATCCCAGATTGCTTTGATTCTGGCATGTAGAGACTGCAAGGGTCTTGGAATGACTGAGTTTCCCCTTTTCTACCAACTCCAGCAAACCACTCAGGCACACAATGGCCACTGGTATGTGTTTATTTCTGAACACAACAGTGAAACATTTAGTCACTCACATATGGTGAAATGTAAAATATCAGTAATGAAAATTAAGGCTAGAAGCTGAAAATCACGAATGCCTTGATTTGCCTGGCACTGTCTGAAGTGACTCTGATGACGATATGTCTTAATATATTTTAATTGCCATAGAAAACAAAACTCTAAGTATTAAATTCTCTTAGAGAATCTTACCCCTCACTTTTTTATATTAAAACACAGAAATATTAGAGATTGATTGATATTTGTTCTGAGAAGAAACAGGCCAAGAAAAATGTTCTTTGTGAAACACGAAGCTCAGGTCCCATGGAGAACAGTGAAAGAGGTGCCTGCTGTGTCCATGGGAACACAAGATGAAAATGAAGCCATACAGAGACTATGGCAGGGTCCTGCTTAGATACAGAGCAAAGTTATTTCCAGGCGAAGAGGCAATGGGGAGAGATCATTTGTAATCAAAGCAGCATGTGGTCGACGGACTAACTTCCCATAGTTCAGTTTTTAACTTTCTTTCAGTGCAATGTGCAAATATTGTCTTTGCATTAAAAAGTAAGTAGTCAAAAGCATATCAGACATTCGCAGACAGGCTTGATAAAACTGCCTTCCTCGTTGTATTTTCTAAGCCAACGAGATCAAAGCTTCTTGGAATTAAAAAATACAGCGAATTAATATTTAACTCTTGGCAGGAAAGAGAGCAGTTCCCTTGTCCTTCTCCAGATGTGCCTGTCCAGCACTCATTTCTAACCATGGCCTGTCCTGGGGTTCTGCCACAGAAGGAAAACTGTGCTGTAATAGTACTTCCACAAGTTGCACAAAATAATATTTGTCAATTGATCATTGCGGCATCTTAAGGCGTAGATGAGAAAGACCTTCAGACAAAATTTAACCCACATCTACTATACTGTTTCCATTATCAATCAATTTTATATTCCCCGCCAAGAACACTAAGTCCCCCCCGACACACACACACACACACACACACGCAAGCACACACATTTAAAAAATTTTTTTTTCAAAGACCATTTGAATATTCTGTGGCAATGGTTTCTAATGTCAGAAACATTTTGCTTCACCTCCTGGAATGAGGGAGAGAAGGAGGGAGGATGGACGGAGGGAGGGAGGAATGAAAAGAAAACACTAAAGAGATAGGAGGGGGAAGAGTGAGAGTTTAGTTAGTAACTTGTTTGCTGTGCAATCCTGAGGCCAAGAGTTTGATCCCCAAAACGCACATGGAAAAAAGCAGGGAATGGTGGTAGGCCTTTGTAATCCCAGTGCTGGGGAGGCAGGGACAGGCAGGGCCCTGGGGCTTGATGACCAACCACCCTGGGGCTGACTGGTGAGTTTCTGGTCAATAAGAGCGCCTGAAAATAACAACATAAAGGCTCCTAAAGAATAGGAGGCCACCCTCGAGCACATAAGCATGCACACTGCACACATACAGGCATGCGCAGAGCGCACATATGCAGGAGATTTCAATGAAGCTTCCTTCCAACTTGTCATATCACGTCAATGTTTATTACCTCGGGGGGGGGACAATACATGAGCATAGCTGTCTTCATAAATGTGGCTTTCAGATACACAATTGCCTGCCTAATTTATAATAATACTGAAATTTCAAGAAATGGATTCTGTGAATTCAAACAGGATTTCTTTCAGGAATTTATTGACAACTACAAGTTTCTATTGTCGTCATAAAGCTGTGTCATTTGAAAAGGAGGCTCTATACGCTCATGGTGCCTGCACTGTCTTTTTGAGAGTGAGCAGAATTATGTTTGCTGTGTGACTACACAGCATAGATTTATGCTATTGAGGAGCAAACTGGAAAAACAAACCCTGAAATAGTATGCCTGAAAGTGAAATACTAAGAGGAGCTATACAAACCTCTGGGTAGGATCATAAGAAACACTGTCAGTTCTTACTACAGAATTAAACAAGAGACTGTTCAGTCAGCATGAAGATAAGACATCAAAAATTAAACCCAAGCTCAAGGTCTTCGGTCACCTTCCCTATCCTTTGATTTTTCTTTTTCAGATTTCTCTGCTGTTTTGCATTCCCCATGCATTTAGCGCTTTCTTTAATAAGCACTCTGTGGATTATCTCCTGAGGGTGTGGCTGAGGTAGACAAGTCCTTTGCAGATGGTGACAATGCAGTGTGTGTTTAGTGTCACAAAGAAAGAAACTTGTATGATGCGGTCTGGCTTTAACTTAGCAGTGTGGGAGCATTTCTTTCTTTCTCTAAACTTATCATCTAAGCAAAAACCAGCTCATTCCATAAAATGTCATGTGTTCTTATTACATGCGCTAAGTTTTAATGATGACTTTTCTCATTAAAACAAATAAAAGAATAGGCTCGAACTTGAGCCAATATTAATGTTGCCCTTCCTTGACACTTTCCTTCACTAATGTCACCTCACAAAAGCTACACAGAAAGCCTTGATGGGAGCTTCTAAGGTTTGGAAAATCTATAGCCCATACTATCACTTGGTAGATTAATGGTGACCCTTCATGCCTCATCCCAATTACTCAACATCAGATGGACTAAGAAACACCAAGGCCTTTAAGAACTGAAAAAACCTCATCTACAGTGTTCTAAACACCATCTTTGATCGCCAGGGACAAGTTTAATTCCCCAAAGGATTCGATTTTTTAAAAATTAATCCACTTTCAAGGCTGTCAACTAAAGCACTTACAAGTACTTTGAAAGACCAAAGAGAACGTTCTCAGAAGTAAACACACTGTAAAGTGGAAGTGCTCAAAGAAAGGATGGACGAAAGGACCTTTGCAAGGCCAGAAGGAGCACGAAGCATCCTTCTGCCCGACTTCTCCACTTTAAAATGAAAAGGCTGCCTCGTATTAATTCATTGAGTTGCTATCTCATAATACCACATCTTTAATAAACAAACATTTGTCCTTGCCCTTTATAGCCAGCGGTAGCACGGATGGGAAAGGACTCAGCCTTCTTTAAGAAGCTGGCCATGGGGAGTTTGACCATGCTCCAGTGAGTATACAGGCAACACAAATTGGAATTTTTCTTCCTCATTTGGGGGGGGGGGCAAGTAGTGAGGGGGGTTGTCTTGGGAGGACTGGAAAATGAGGGTGCTCAGGGTGCAGAATGTGAAATTGCCAAATAGTCAATAAAACTTAATCAATGAAACTTAAAAAAAAATTATCTAATACACTTCCAAGTTTAGCATGTAACAAAATCACTCAATTGGCTTAATATGCATAGTCAGATTCTGTATGCCAGGATAAGACCAGATTATGTGTGTTTCATTTTTGTGCACGTGTATCTGTATCCTATGTATATCAACGCACGTTGGGGTTATGCGCACACAGATGTGTGTCCATGTGGAGTTGTAAGGCTGACATCAGGAGCGAAGCTTTGCTGCTTGCCGCTTTGCTCACTGAGGGCAACTCAACCCAAAGCTCACAGCTAGTCCGACGACAAACTTGCTCCGGGGATCTGAGTTCTGAGCACTGGAATTCCAGGCAGGCTCTGCAGCCACGAGCCATTCGCGTGGGTGCTGGGGATGCA